TCTTAACTTCAGACGGTAAAAGCCATTCTCTATTTTTTCACTTTAATGTAGAATTAGCACTCATTCTTTCGAAATATGAGAAGTGTATCACTATCCTTTCTCTAATAAGCAAAGTAACCCAGTGTTACCCATTTAACGTACCAAATGCAAACCTATTGGTTGAAAACTCAGCAGCAATTTATAAGCAGCAAGTCACAATGATATTGATTGGAAGTTACAAAACGAAAATTTTAGGGTTTTCTTGATTCGCTCGATTCCTTGCACTATTTCATTGACCACGTTGTGTACCAAACAAAATTACGTGGTCCATCATTTCGATGTGAAGCGCATCCAGACGGAACGCTACTGCTCCATTATTACTCAAAGAGGAGTGGGCTCTACCCTATCGTTAAAGGTTTGTGGAAATTTAACCAAGCTCTTGAGTGCACTCCTTATTCTTCTTTTTTTGTAAGTCTAATCGACCGGTTTTGGATGCTGAACTCACTCCTCTGGTCCCTTATATAATTTTTACTCCAGTTCTCACTCATAACATCCTTGGATTTTTAAATTCGCAAATGAAAAAGTTTTTCCTGCGCTCTGATTATGGAACAAGATGTTGACTGCATGCGTCTACAAAAGATCGCAAAAATGACTAATCAACTCAGGTGTGGTTCGAGAAGTAGCCCGTCGTATATACGAGACAGAAGTTATAATGAAAGTACAAGAGAGAAAGCAAGAGCATCTAGGTACACTGAAATGCGTAATTTATGGGCGATCATTCAAACCATCTTTCATAAATTTAGATGCATTTGTAACGGAACATGTGGTGTTCGTTATTAGCCAAGTCGAAACTGGGAGTGGACATCCTCCAAAGGCGATCTCAAGTAAAATGGAACAATTTGACGCAAATGTAGTGAGTGCAAATGAATTTGTTTTTTTAGTAAAGGACTATAAATCTTTTCAAAAATAGCTTATACTCAAATATTTTTTATTTGGGAGTGAAATCAAAGATACATTGTAAGTTGCATAATCTCTTTTCGCTTCAAATAAAGGCTATATAGGGTCAGCAAAGTGGATAGTGAGAGTAGAATTCACATAGATAAATGAGCATGACGAAGCAAAATTTGGGCCATTCATGATATATGGATAAGATCCTTTCTTTTGGAAATAGTTTACGGTATAGCTTTCACTTCTGCAAGGCCATTTTGAAAGATTTTTTTGGAAAGTAACAAAAATTGTGGTTATAATAACCACACTTTCCATTTCAGGGCTTACGCTCCAAAAACACAACTGTAACGAAATGCCTACTATCCGTAAAATTTAGTTAATCTGAGAATCAAATATGGCTATATGACTGCAGTATCTATTGAGCATTGGAAAAAATTACATGACTAAAACCAACTATTTTACATATCAAATCCATAATTTATAGGGTGTATTTGACATAAGCTCTGACGATTTCTCCATTGCATTCCCCTATCACATATGCTTTGACAAAGATCTATTCGTTGAACATTTTGGACACTATATTCGAAATGCCTATCCAATGGCAATTCGGCAGGAAACAAGAGTTTCAGATATATTGGAGCTGGTGCATCCAGAGGTTTGGTGCTATTTTAAAAATTTGAACAAATACATTAGGCATTTATTAGAAGTGAATATTTCAGGTGCCTCTTTCCTATGAGTCAATCCTTGCGTTCAAAAACAGTTTATTTGTTTTTAAAATGAGAGGGATTGGGGATATAGTTCACCAGAAGAAAGAAGAAGTAAAGCCCATTCTCCTCAAAGGTATCTTCTAAAATTAAAAATTTCTTTCGTAATTAATATC